CTGGATGCGTCGGTTACTTACTGAACTGAAGAATCAGCCAAGCACTGCAACTGTGATTAATGAGGATAACCAATCATGTATTTGCATGACTAAAAACCCTCAGTTCCACTCTCGTTCTAAACATATAGGGATAAAATACCACTATGCCCGTCAACAAGTGAAAGAAGGAAACATTGAAATTGTGTACTGTCCTACTGAGGAAATGGTAGCGGATATGTTGACTAAGGGGCTATCTCAAGACAAGTTTGTGAAGTTTAGAGAAATGGCAGGAGTTAAGGAAATGTAAAATGTCTGCAGTGAGAAGGAGTGAAGAGGATATGCACTTTTGACATTATTGCATGTTAAATTATTACTCTAGAACCTTCTAGGACTTTTTGTGTTTTCTAGGACATTCCAAATTATTCTTATTTATCTGTATGTTACCAGAACATTCTAGATTATTTTTAGTTTTGTATATAAGTGTTCTGTGTTGTGTTGATTGTATTGCATTATAGTTCTTAGTTATTGGTTTAAGTAAAGTTAACTTGGTTGTATTCAAAAACTCTAACAAAATTTATTCTATTTAACGCCGAATCCAATCACGGACGTTGTCCGCCGGGGGAATCCTAGTTTCCTATCCTGGTTACGTAGTCTATAATTGGGGCGAGCATAAGTGAGCCCTACTCAGGCGAAGTCTCCCTCCCTCCCTCTGGTATGTATGTACGTACGTCTCCAGTCACGCCTATTCTGGTCACATCCATGTGTGCACAACTCTCTATTTAAAAATCAAAGATCTAATGCGGTAGCATTCTAACTAGGCGAATGTAGAACATTGAAGGGGCGAGCACAAGCTAGTATGGCAATATACAATGTTTAGATGTCACAAAGGCTAATGTTGTTGTCAAATTGTAAATAATACACATGCATAGCAGCTCAGAACTTGTGACTTGCATGCATGAAAGGAAATTTTATAGCTTGCTCTTCTAGCTTTATTAGCAGTGAAGAATCTCAGTTGTAACTTTAATAAGTATAATTTAATTTTTACTATGATATTTTCAAGCACAGTACTTTAAGACTTCTTTTCTCTGATGAGCCATTTGAAGTGCTTTATTCTGTCATTCAACCATAATTAATAAAAACTTGAAGATTTGTGTGAGTTTTCTTAAATTTTCTCTGCTGGCGAAGTGTCTTGACAACAGATCAGTCTTATGTTGCTGCAAGTAAGATTGGCTAAGGTAGGCGCCATTTTTATTTCATTGCACTCATAGTACCACACCCACATCAATGAAAATATTTCATTAGAATGCTACCGCATTAGATCATTGATTTTTAAATAGAGAGTTGTGCACACATGGGTGTGACCAGAATAGGCGTGACTGGAGACGTACGTACATACAGAGGGAGGGAGACTTCGCCTGAGTGGGGCTCGCTTATGCTCGCCCCAATGATTTCCAAAGGTCAATGATTGTTCATTGCTTCAAGTGATGTGACATTCATAGCAAGGAGTGTGGAAATACAGTCAATGTAGTGCAAATTTGTCATACTAGGCGAATGTAGAACATTGAAGGGGCGAGCACAAGCTAGCATGGCAATATACAATGTTTAGATGTCACAAAGGCTAATGTTGTTGTCAAATTGTAAATTGAATGATACACATGCCGCAGAGCACTGAGCTCAGAACTTGTGACTTGCATGCAAGGAAATTTTATAGCTTGCTCTTCTCTCTTTATTAGCAGTGAAGAATCTCAGTTGTAACTTTAATAAGTACTAGGCGAATGTAGTACATTGAAGGGGCGAGCACAAGCTTCATTATCGTGATTTGATCATTTTAAAATTGTTTCAATCAATTATCGTGATTTGATCATTTTAATATCGTTTCAATCAATAAATGTACATTATTATGCATGACAATTCATTTGTCACTAAGATTCATTCGTCACTAAGGACCACTGTAACAATGTTGGAACTGTTTATTTGTACTTTAATGCTATCCATTGACAGTAGATGCTCCTCGATGCTCTCTCGTGGCAAATTGATATTAAGTAGTGAGGAAAGAACGCTATTAAACATAGTGACTTTATGGATTTCGCCATCAAGGTCCTTTATCTGTAGCTTTGCCAAAGAGTTCTTCTTAGCTTTTGATGATTTAAACTTTGCAGAGCAATTGCTACATTGTAGTATGGCTTGAGCAGTAGACACAGATATTTTCCAGTCACACAGAGGACATTTCATTTGCTCATCATATATAACAGAGAGTATTTCACCAGTAATAGTGAGTTGGTTAGATTCGTGAGTAACAACAGCTTCTCTGGGACAAACTTCGCCTATATCGTCAACCATACTGTAAGTTGTGTCCACTGTAAATGACAGAAAAAGAGCATCAGCAAACTTCTTCACACGTAGGTTTGAGAATGAATATGATTTGCCAAGTAAAAGCTTTTCTACATTGCCTTCCCATAATATAAGCTTGCACGTACCACTACTGTCACTAATAATGCAATCCTGCTTAGTAAGGGGTTTCCTTTGACTGTCAACTTTTATCGGCAAATCCAAATGAATGACTTTAGCATTGACAGAGATTAAAGATGAAATTGCCAGCTTCTTGACATCTGAAAGTGACACAGTTGTTGGTTCATCTTCTGTCGGTTGGCACTTAAATTTTTTAGGTGAAAGCATGACCTCAGACTTGTCACTGACAATAATTTCCAAATCTTCATTGTTTAAAACAGATCTTTTAATGGAACATTTATTCAGAGCAATGCTAGTCCCTTCTTCTTTTGATTGCTTCATCGACTGAAACAAACTCGTATTAAAGGACACAAATCTCTTTGTGTCCATCTCATCGCTAAAGCAACCATCAAAGTATAGTTTACGACGGGGGCTTTCTTTAATAGATGATAGCTTGGTCACCATCCCGTGGATTGCTGAGGGAGCTGTAGATGGCTCTTTGATTTGGGATACGTCAATGCCCCAGTCCTTAGCAGCCATTACTTTTGAAGACTTACAGATCTGTCGATCAACTTGGATAGGGACTTCTCAGTAATTCTCGCTTCTTTCTTCTCAAACACAAAGTGAAAACGTGTAAAGCTGAAGTATTTACTGCGCATGCTCAGAAGTTATCACATTGCGAAGTGTGGATTGAACCGTGTTGTGAGAC